CTTGCAGTGTAACTGAAGAATTTCCACTAGCAATAGCTTAAATAGGACAGTTTAATGGAGAGTGTTTAGAGTATTTTAGCAAAATATTAGTCTAAGTTATTTATATCTGAGGAATCTTTAAATTATTGACATTTTTATATACACACACACACATATACATACGCTATTTTGCTCTTGCTGTGTGACTCGGTGCTCATTTCTTGTTTTGTTTTGTCTAGGAGAGCTGGAGTTCAGGTTCTTCGACCAGAAAAACAGCCTAGACTTCTCCTGGCTGGAGACAGTGAGACCTAGCATGCAAGTCATTCCCTGTGGCCTGTAAACCCCCGGCTTCCGCTGACCACAAACTACTCTTACGTAAAAAACTTTGACAAGCCTGAAGAGAGTGGAGGAAATTGTTTGTTACTGACCAAACAAAAGACAGTAGCTTTTATGTTCCGTTTTAACTTTTAGGCCTGGAAAGAAAAACTCCATTATAAATAAATAATTAAAGAAGGACTCCCATCTCAGCGGCAGGAGTCCCGGCACCGAGGATGCTCAGCCGCAGCACGCCCCTTGTCAGCGCTCCGCGGCGCGGCGTTTGCTGGAGGGTCGCTGATGGGCCGTGGGCTCTGCCCTGGCAGGGTACAGCTGAAGGGGCACTGTGCTGGAGGCCGGGGGGAGGCTGTTGTCATCCTCCTGCGCGAGATGGGACGAGCACTTTACCCACGGAGCGCTGAGGAGAGACGCTGCAGATGAGTCTCTTGCCTGTTAGTTTTGGTTGCTGCTTACCTGTGCAACACTGGTGACGTTGAGCTTAATGACTGTCATACTTAGGAAAATTGCACTAATTGGCCTTCTCTTCTTTGATTGACGCTGTCACATAGTTCCATCTTTCAGATCTTCAAACTGTGTAAATAGTTTAGACCAATGAAATGTGAAAATTCAGTTTAGGCTTCGCTTCCTCGTAGTACAGTTACCCAGATCCACTCATTACCTGCTCCCAGGCATGCCATATCTAGGTCTACATCATAGTTGAAGAGATGCTGCATGAAACAATTTTTTGCACTGATAGGGGCAGAGTTCTTTATTTATGCCATGCCTTTCTGAGACCCCTTCTAGCACTCTACCAGGATACCCACAGTACTGTATGCAGCAAGCTGGAACAGCCCACCGACCCGCCCTGGGGCCACGTGTGCAGGAGAGCGCAGGATGGAAGAGGTTCTAGTTCGTGTGTAATACGTAGAAATCAAATCACTAAGCTCTATATTTTCTTGTACATTTTATTTTTGTATATAACACATTGTATATTTGTTTTAATAAAAATGTTTTATATATGACGTGTTTACTTTTTCTCATGGGAGAGCTCTGCGAATGCATTCCAGATTCCTTGAAAATACCCAAACAGCTGTGCTGTTGACAGAGACAGTTGGAGAGGGTTTTTGTTTTTTGTTTTTTTTTTTCATGAGTCATGAAAGCAGAGAGAATTTAGCACAGTTTGCTCCCCTTTTCCGCCTCGCCTCTGCTAGGGGGCAGCTGATGGGTGAAATCCTGCTTGTCCTGGGAAGGGACGCCCAGGTTCTGTGCACGCCTGGGGGAGTTGGTGTGGAACTGCCATCATCTGCAAGTCAGCCCTGATTTAGGGCAGGGGTGCAGGCTACGCTCTTAGAAAAAAACCCAGCACCACATCCCTGTTGTGGCTGTCCCTGTTAGCAGTGCTGTTGGCTTCTGAGAGGAGACTGGCAGTGAAGACCGAGCTAAATACCTTGGGTTTGCCTAGAAAGAAAACACCTGGACAATGCAGAAGGCAAGAGGAAAGCAAGCTGGTTTTCCCCTGTATATTGAACTCCTTTGCTGTACTTTCAGGCTGGAAAGGTCCGATGTGTTACTGCATCGTCTAGGGTGGGAGAGCAGAGCCAAGCATGGCTGATGCAACGTGTCTCCAGCTGCAGCCACCGGGATCTGATGCCGTCTGGAAAACCCCTGCGCTGAACTAAGCTGTGCCGTGAGGGCCCTTGGGGAATAACTTCATCCACTGAGCGAGGGTGGACTGAGGAGAATATCAGGCTGCGGGAGAGGAAGACCCAACCCAAAGGGCTAGAACAAAGCCGACGCTTCCTACCGCCTTTGGCACGGGCTCTGCTGCGACTGGGACTGCAGACACGTGAGGACAGCTGTGGGGTTTACCGAGGGAAAAGGGACAAAAGCAGCGTCCTGGGAGGCAGATGGTGGAGGGTGTCAGCTCCAGCAGAGCTTGGACACGGCCCAGCAAGGTGGACGGGCAGCCCAGGGAGGGAGAGGCTGGGCAGGGCTGCGGCAGCGCCTGTTAGTCATTAACCGGCCCTATCTCCGGGGCAGCCCAAAGCAGGGCAGCACCAGGCAGAGAGCAGCTTCCGACAGCCTCATCCCGGCTCCGTGGGGGTGGCAGCCCGGAGGGTGAGGACCTTGCTGCCCCCATGCAGTGGTCACACTCCTTGGCAGGGCATCTGGCCCGAGGGGCCACCTCCTGGGAAGGGAGCCAGCCAGCTGGGACCCCTCCGGGTACCAGGGCTGCCTGGGATCACACCCACCCAAAATCCTGCACAGAGACCCGATGCAGACCTAGAGCAGAATATTTTGTGCGTGAGCACCCACCGGATCAGATGGCAGCTCCTGCCAGGGAGAGAGCGTGGGGCTGCTGGGTCTAGAGCCACCTCTGTGCACCCAGGCAGGGACACCAGCTCAGCCTCACCGACACCACCAGAGGAAATCACACAGAATCACTCGGGTTGGAAAAGCCCCTCGGGATCAGCAAGTCCAACCCTCAGCCCGACTCTACAAAGTTCTCTCCTACCTCACATCCCCCCACAGCTCATCCCAACTGCCCTGAAACCCCCCAGGGATGGGGACTGCCCCCTCCCCGGGCAGCCTGTTCCACTCTCGGACCACTATCAAAATCAGTTTTGTTTAGGAACTTATTATACACAGGGGGCAGGGTGTGGGAGAGAGAAGGGAAACTTTTTATGATGCAGACAGTGCTAAAAATAAGGTAGAGATTAATCTGCCTATTCATGCATTAAAAGGAGCAAGTTTTTCACAGTTATGCTCAGATACAAATAAACAGCCCTTAGATTTTCACAGATAAAAGGCTTGACCAAGATCAGAGGACGGGAGAAAACAGCAGCTCCGAGCGTGTGTTCACCAGGACAGGCGAGATGCTCTCCTGAGCCACCTGCCGCGGGACCAACCGCACGTGAGGGGTTTTGCCAGTGAAAAGTGGTGAAGTCCCATGACAGGGTGGAATTTATCCATCCAATTGCTTCACTGGCTGAATGACTGCCAAATTCAGAGTATTTTCTTGTTGTTTTGAACTCTTTGGGAGGGGAAAAGAAAGCAGAGTCCGGCTCTCCAGAGCAGGAGGCTGGGACTTGCCGAAACCCAGCGGGGACCCAGCGGCTGCGGTGCCGCATCGATACCTGACTGGCTCCTCCATCACCTCCAGGGCAGGTGGGATCCGTAGAAGCAACATTTATTCTCTCAGTGCAAACTAAGGAGACCTTTAGGCTGCTCATGCCCACAGGAGCCATCATGGGCTCTTCAGGATAAACCTCCTGCACAAGCTATGCAGTGAAAATAGTTCTAAGCCCTTGACATTGAATTCTTCTGAACTTGCCTATATTAATCAAACCCTTCATCAAGCCAGTAAACTTCAGCTGGCTTTCCCGTGTTGGAATGAGAGTTGCTTTTACCTTTAATATGCACACAGCTACATTCACATGGGAAGTAATTCAATACCAAGAGAGCAGGTCATTGAGGAGAGCTCACCCTTGCCAAACCCAGACAAAGCAATAAAGAGAGTTTTTATGGGCAGGGCTCGAAGGGCAAACAGCTCTCTCTTATGCTACGAACCTTGCATGGCAGTGAGAAAGATCGACGGGCAATGCAACTGTTGTAAAAATAAAGAGAGATCACCTCTCTCTGGTGGAAAACAAAAAGCGGTAGTTGTATAATCAGTGGTCGCTTGGGCAATGGAGCTAATGCTGCAGGCTTGGCGGGCTGCTCCATCCCCTGCACCGGCTGCAGCTGACTTGCAAACCTCGAAACCATCCAAAACCAAATCCTAATTTCTCCTGATTTAATTTTAGAGCTTTAGGATGTCAACAGGACAAACACTCCCCAAAATAACTGACAGTCTCAAAAACAGTCCCACAGCCTGAACCCGGGAAAGCCCCACGGTGACTCAGGCCCAGGCTTTGAGCTGCAGCATCCTGCATCGAGGCAGCAGAAGACCTGGGATCACGCCAATGAAGATCTTCCACGCGGCAGAGGCGAGGATACCACGCAGCTGTGAACGGCAGCTTTTCCTCCTGAAAACCCTTGCCCTATAAATAGGGGTTGATTTTCCCCTAACCTGTGCCCGAATAGATCGCTAAAATGCTCTTCCGTAGTTAGAGGGGAACATAACTTCCTCCCCTGTGCTCTGCTTAGCACACTGCTCATCATTTGCTCACTCCCCAGGAGCAACCTGTGAGCAGCTCGACCCCACGCTGCCTGGAGGAGCCTTTCGCTCGGGGTTGCCCGGACTGGTGGCACCTTGCGTGAGCTTTGCCCGCCAGACAGCAGAGCCTGCAATTACGGTTTCACCTTTATTTGCCATGGTGATTGAATCCCGATAATTGGACGCATTTCCAGGCAGTCACATGATTTATGGCATCACACCTACAAAGGACAGGAGTGCTTCAGACCAAAGGTATGAATTTATATCTGCAAAAAAATAGTGGCATATTTGTTTGCGGTGCAAAGGCAAACC